ATCTATCTATCTATCTATCTATCTATCTATCTATCTATCTATCTATCTATCTATCTATGTATTTATGTATTTATTTATTTTAGTCACTCTACAGCCTGATGTAGCCCCATTCCTCCTCTCCTCCTCTCCTCCACTCACACCCTCCTCCTCCCGTTTCCCCGCAAGGTTCCCCGGGTACCTCAAGTTGCAGCAGGACAAGTGCATCCTCTCTCACTGAGGCCAGAGAAGGCAGATAAAGTAAGGGATCCGTAGGCAAGCAACAGAGCCAGAGAGACAGCCCTTGTTCCAGTTACTAGGTGAAACACATGAAGACCAAGCTGTACATCTGCTACATATGTGTGTGGGGGGGGGAGGTCTAGGTCCAGCACACACATGCTCTTTGGTTGGTAATTCAGTCTCTGTGACCCCCCATGGGCCCAGGATAGTTTACTATGTAGGTCTTCTTGTGATGTCTCCTCTGGTTCCCTCAATCCTTCCTTCCACTCTTCCACAAAACTTCCCAAGCTCAGCCAATTGTTTGCCTGTGGGTCTCTGCATCTGTTCTCATCAGCTGCTAGATGAAGCCTCTCAAAAGACTGTTACCCTTTCAAGACCATCAACTCAGGGTTGGCATTATTCACAGTGAGCTGTAAATATCAATCACCAGTCAAGAAAGGTGTTCCTTTCTTGTCACATGGCTGCTCCAGAGAACGATCTGGTGGGCCATTTCCTCAACTGATGTTGCCTCCTCTGCAATAATGCTAGCTTCTGTCAAGCTGACACAAAATTAGCCATCACAATTATTTCAGCTTGAAAGTCAATGAGGAATACAATTTACAGAGGAGGAAGAAAGATTTTCTTAATCATAAAAGTAGAGGAAAGAAAATTCCATGGGACAAATAAAAAAAACATCAGGATAGAAAGCACCCACCATGTCCAGGAGAGCAAGCCAGTAAAACCCTGTGAAAGAAAAGAATAAATAATAATTTATAATAATAATAATTATTATTATTATTATTATTTATGTCATTTTCTGATAAATTCCTAAGAAGCCTTTTACTTTCAAACATCTATAAGAGTATGCTAAAAAGAGTAAATCTATAATTACAGGGTAGAAGAAGCTAAGTTAAAAGTCTAGAGACATTAAAAAAAACTATTCAATAACATTATATCAGAAAGTGCCCATAATATAGATCAAGAAACAGACAGTCACTTGCAAGAACCTCTTCATGAACTATTAAGAGTCAATATGTCAAAAATACAAAGCATTTTTTAACCTACCAGACTGAAAACCATTTCCATCTTGGACAATGCAGATGACGGGAGGTTGAAGGCTAATTCATACTTGATAGTACTACCTCATAGACACGGGAGTCAGTTTGGCTCAGTGTCCACTAAATCAATAAGCTTTGACTCTTAACTTCATAGTAGCATTTCTAGAAATTAATCCTACATATACATTCTTGCCAAATGTATAAAGCATTAATACTTATGTAACAGAAATCATAAATAGATTTAAACAGGGTCTCACAAAAGTGCGACAGCCATGAAAATGGCTACCATTTATTCAGATGTTAAAATGACAGAATAAATTTGTATGTTCTATTGTATGATAGATGCCTGCTTTAAATTAAAAAAAAAAAAAAACCAAGATGTGGAGAAGAACTGCATTATGACGTCCTCCGTGATAAACATGCTCAGAAACTTGAAAAATTGATAAGACTCTGATAAAGAAAACTGATTACTTTTAGAGAAAAGTAGGACTTTGGGGTGGGAGGGAAAGGTTAACTTTTATTTTACCACTAGTTTGGAAAAAAATTTAATTCACATATTTGCTTTATTTCTTTATTTTTTCAGATTAGAGGCACAGCATTATTTTCTTCATCAACAAAGAACTTATTTTCTTAAGCATCAAACCAAATGACCCCTAAGTGCCTGAGAACCAAATCAGGCAAGAAAAAAAAAAAAAAAAAAAATTAGGCAGGCCCCTTCAGTTAGGTAGCAGCTGCTATTTCTGGAATCTTTTTTTTTTTTTTTTTTTTCAGCCAGGCTTAACGGGAAAGAGGAGGCCCAAAGCGCTGTATGGTGTTCACCACGAGAGAAAGCTGGTCCAGAAAGTTGATGATGGAGATTCGGAGGAGCCGAGGGTCTTCTGCGCTCCAGCGCACCTCCAGCAAGCCACCGCTCGCTTTAAGCTCCTTCCCTACAAGTCGTTGGTGTGGTTCCACATCAGGAGCTAAGGATCCACAGGCGATTTCTGCTTCCAAACAAGTCGGAAAAGGCACGGTGAGGGCGAATCTGTGACGTCCGATTCCGGGCCTTTCTGTAAAAGGCGTGGTGCTTTTGCTGGAACTACGGTGAGCTCCCCTGGGAATAACTGCCATTGGGCCGGCATCACCCAGACAGCAACGGCCGGTCGGGGCCTGTGCAGAGTGACCTGTGTGCGCCGCCTGCCTGTCTGCTGCTGCTCCACTTTCCAAACCACACTCCCGTTTCGACATATTTGCTTTAACTCTGTAGTAAAAAGAAAACACTACTAAGAAATGCAAGTGCTAGGAGGGAAAAGATTGCAAAGAAATGACCCAGATAAAGGCTTCCGGACCCTGAGGGACAGTGCCCATCAGGGACACTTTTTGTCACTAGAGGTATGAAAAGCAGCCAACGTTTGTACGCTAAGACAACTGATCTCTTCAGCCAAATTAAAAATTGTGTGTGTGTGTGTGTGTGTGTGTGTGTGTGTGTGTGTGTAGTTGTTCCTTTGGCTTGGAACTTACCAATTAATACTCACCGAGCATCAAGCCCCAGAAAATCTTCCCCTCTCTCACTCTCCAGTGATCGGGTTACCAGCTTGACTTTTTCTTGTGTGGGTTCTGGTGTTCTAACTCAGATCTTCATGGTTGCAGGCCAAGGACATTATCAACTGAACTATATCCCCAGCTCCTGAAAAAGTTTTTAAAAATAAACAAGTTGAACGTTTGCCAGTAACATCAGCTCTTGGGAACTGGGGGCAGGAGGGTCACCCTGACTTTGACACAAGCCTGCATAGCAAGACGATCTCAGGCAAACAAACCACAGTCATGTGGTTATTATCCTAACATTTCCTGGTACCTCTGTGAGGAAACTTCTATAGCTTAGACATGAAATAACTTTCCCAAGATCATCAGGAAGGAAACAGAAGGTCTAGAATCAGAACTTAGAATTCAGTCTTTGACTTCTGTGTAGATCATTTCCAAGAAGTAAAAATACAAATGAGAGCACAGGGGCCTGGGGATTATTTCTATGCATGATATATACGAGCATGAAATGTTTTCATGTAATGAATACGAACAATACAAAATAAAAACAAATAAATTAAGAAAGAATGCAAATAGGTTTGAATGCTTATTATCTGTTTCTGTGCCACAGAGAAACAAAAGAATACATCATAACAGTACAAAGTTGTGCTGTAAATATTAGTCATTGCCACAGATAATCAACCCCCCCCTTTTCTTTGTTCTGTATACTTACTGTTTTGATTATTATGTGGTAGGAGGATTTTCTTTTCTGACTGAATTTATTAGGTGTCCTGTATGCTTTTTGTATGCTTATAGGCCTTTCATTTAAATTGGGGAAATTTTCTTTTATGATTTTGGTGAAAATATTTTCTGGGCCTTGGAGATGGGAATCTTCCTTTTCCTCTATTCCTACTATTCTTAGGTTTTGTTTTTCATGTTGTTTTGGATTTCTTGGATGGCTTGTGTAAGAATTTTTTAGATTTAACATTTTTTGAAAGATACATTGATTTCTTCCATTGTATCTTCCACACCTGAGATTCTTTCTTCCATCTCTTGTAGTCTATTGATTATGCTTACCTCTGTAGTTCCTGTTTTCTTCCAAGTTCTTCCTCTCCATGATTTCCTCCATTTGTGTTTTCTTTAATTTTTCCAATTCTATCTTCAGATCTTGAACTGTTTGTTGATTTCCTTCACCTGTCTGACTGTATTTTCCTTCAATTCCTTTAGCTGTTTGTTTGAACTTTCCTGTTTCTTTTATTTCTTTCAGTGATTTAATTATTTCCTCTATGAAGGCCACAAACTATTTGGCTGCATCTTCCTGTATTTCTTTATGGATGGCTATAATCTGCTTGACTTTATTTTCTCTGTTTCTTTATGTACTTTATTTGTTTCCTCCATTGTCCTCTTCATAAACATAGATGTTAGGTCATCTTCTTGAATTTCATTTACGTTAGAGTATCCAGGGCTACTTGCCCCTGGATAACTGGGTTCTGGAGATGCCATACTGCTTCGACTTTTGTTGGTTGTGCTTTTACGCTGGCTTTTATCCATCTGGCTGTCTCGGGTGTTGGCTGTTAATTTCTGGTGCCTGCTGGAATCCTGGGGTGGGAAGAATCCCCTTGGCAGGAAGATGGTTGTTCCTGAAGGAGGCCTCCTCAGCTTTTCGAGTATGATCACTGAATGGCCAGTGCTTCTCAGGAATTGCCACAGCTCACAACCTGTGTGGTCACTATGGACATTGATAGTCAGAAGGGGTGTCCTCTCACCAGGAGAAGTCCTGGAGACAGCTGCCCTACCACTGGGTTTCTTGCTCCAAATTTAGTGGGCTGCTGCTGCTCTTACACTGTGTTTGCCGTGTGCAGGACTCTTGAAGCAGGGAGGCCTGCCATTTGGTCAGTTTAGCTAGGAGACAGGTTGCGCCTTGAAGCAATGTCTAGGGGCGGATCCTGTGAGTCCCAGGCTTCTCTAGGTTTGAGGTTGGAGCTCTATGCCCCAGTACCCAAGTGTTAATCAGAGGCAGGTGAGCACAGCACACAAGTGTGAGGCTGGAGGCTAGAGCCTGGAGCCTTCGGGAACCCAGAAACTTTTCCAGGGATTAGCTGGGTGTCCTGAGGTGGGACCTGATGTTTCCCCCACCAAGGGGTTTTCTCCTGACAGGGAGACACAGTTTGTGGAGTTTGGGGGTCCACAGCTCAGCCTGGGATGTTGAGTAGAGCACGCATGTGCAGGCGGGTACCTCAGCACTGGCAACTGGGAGCCTGCAGGACCCGGGAGCTTTTCTGAGAACTTTTCGTGATGGAGGTGGAGGGTTGGCTGGGTGCCCTGAGGTCAAACCTGCTCACAGGGAGAGGGTCCTCCCAATGGGAAACCCAGTCTCTGGTGCCCTGGGGTCCACAGTTCTGTCTGGGATGGTAAGTCAGGCGCACAGGCATTTGGCTCTGGGCTGGCGGCTGAGCACCCACCGGAGCCCAGGACCTGGAGCCCAGAACATTTTCCAGGTGTCTGGGTGACCTGAGGTCAGTCAGTCTCGATTGCTTCCTTCACCATGGGGTTTTCTCTCAACTGGAAATCCCAGTCTTGGTGTTGTGGGGCCCACAGTTTAGTCTGGGACAGTGATCAGAGCATGCAGGCATGTGGCTCTGGGCTGGGGACAGAGGGCCTGCCAGACCTGGGAATTTTTCCGGGGTTTAGCCGGGTGACCTGATCCCGATTGCTTCCCATATCATGGGGTTTCCTCTCACCTGGGAAACAAAATGACTGATGTTTGAGGGCCCAGAGTTCTGTCTGTTGGTTCACTGCTGTTCTGCTTGTCAGACAGTCTCCTTTCGGCGCCACCATCTTGGATACTTGGCCTTTTTTTTTTTTTTGCCTGTACTTTACTACTCAGCTTTTATTTCACTGGCAGCATTAATAAGCTTGCCAACAAGCATCCTCCAGTCCAAAAGTAGGACTCTGTTATGATACCTGGTCAACGGACAATACTCCATGCAGTTAGACAATGTGATTTTGGAGATCAGTAACAGGGTTACATTTTCTGTCACATCTCCTATTTCAGGATTTAGGGGACTCTCCGGGGCAGAAGGTATCAGGAGAAACTTGCTCAAGACAAGATGGATCAAGACCACAATAAGAGGAATATAGGAGTGATGTCTCTGTAGAGGGGCTTAGCACTGAGAACAGGTTCTCTCAGTTGCAGTGGTAGAGAGCCTGAAGTGTAGAAGATCAGAACACTAGACAGAGGCAGTGGGCATCTGCACTGAGACAATGTTTGCAGGACATGACTGAACCATTGCACACACAAACTCAGCCACTATGGCTGGAGTGTGCCTTCCCCTACCCTAAAGAGACAAGCCAGGAAATTAACTCACCAATTATGTCACCTAAGTTTTTAAAAACGTGTGATGTGTGTGTTCACAGGAGCTGGTGGAAGGGAGAAGAAGGCATAGAATTCTTTGGAGTGGGAGTTGCAATGCTACCAGCTGTCCAGTGTGGATGCTGGGATCCAAATTCCAGGCTTCATCACTGTACAGCAGCAAGCATTCTAAGCTGCTGAGCCATCTCTTCATCCTCTAAACTTGTTTTTAATAAAATTCTCAGCAGTTCTCAGCCCGTGGGCTGTAACCTGCAGGGGTGTCACATCAGATATCCTGAGTATCAGATATTTACATTATGACTCATAGCAGTAGCAAAACTAGTTATAAGTAACAAAATAATTTATGGTTGGATATCACCAAAAAGAGAGGGAACTCTACGGAAGTGTGGGAGCATTAGGAAAGTTGAGGACCACAGCAATTCTAAGTAACAGTTAATTAGACATACCTCCCAGCATTGCTGGGAACCCAGGGGAAAAATACAGCTCATGCTGGAATTCTGACACCACTCTACCAACTCCTGGTAAAATTGCAGATTGCAAATCAATGTTTTTCTTTACATAAGTAGGCTAACAGCCTCAGTGAAAACAATACCCAGATTAATAAGAACATTAAACAACACATTTACTTTCTGAATTACTTTTATTAATACTTTTATGAAATAATTTCTATTTATTTCTAATAGAAATAAGGAATTTTTTCCTGGATGATAATACCAACTTAGTTCATCAGTAACACCATTTATATTTTGTCTTGTTTTATTATCAGTCCTGAATTTCTTACCTTACCATGTTCTCTTTCATTATGCTTCAATGTCTGTCTGTATATATGGAGGGTTCTGATTAATACTAATACCATTTCTCTGGAAGAAAAAGTATTTGTGAAATTACCTTAAAGAAGCAAAGGACTAATGATTTCACAGTGGTCTGAACTGAAGAACACATGAAGAGTATGTGGAAGAGTGTTTGCTGTTCCAGAAGATATCCAAAAAGCTCGTGTCCTGATAGGCATCGCTGATCAACAGTATTTCGTAATATTCATTGAAAGGCGTGTAAGGTATCCCTTACAACTAACTGATCTACACATTCAAGTTTTGAGATATTTTGAGTTAAGTACCTGTTTACTTTTTTGAATGAACTGCTAGAAAACTGAGAGTCAAATGTGGGCTTTATCCTTAGTTAGTATTAACAATTTTGTTTTTAAATAATAGGATTTTTATTTTAAATATTTGTAAATAACTATATCGTTGGCCAGTTTTTACTTTTTTATTTATATTTTTTATTTTATTTTCTTCTATTTTATTTATTTATTTACTTTTGCATTCCTAGTTCAGTGATTTCAAATGGATTTTACTTTTCTTACATAAGATGTTTTAAACTTTTATAATAAGAAAAGGAAGGGAGAAAAGGAAGGAAACAGAAAAAAGAAAGATATCAATTCCCTTAAAATAATTATAAGAGTCAAGTTAAATTATTTTACTGAATTGTTGTAAGAAATAGAATGTGGAGAGGTTCCAAGATGGCGGTGATCAGTGTGCACCATACCTGGGGGGGGCAAGGATCTGAAACTCTGAAACTGGTGAGTGGATGGGCAGCTGAAGCCTGAGCATCAACTTTGAGGCTTCTTGGGCTAGAGGGGACAACCCTTGAGCTGGGACAGAGTGGATCAAGCCCCACCCCCCCCCCCGTGGACTTCTTCAGGATCTGAGAGTGGCTAACTGTTGACCCCCTGCCCTGTCCCTTGCCCTAGGAGTCGCAGCAGCTGCCTCAGGTATGGGCCCCCAGCTCTAGCAGCC